ATAATAATGATAATGTTTCTTTGTTAGCCATATAAATTTCTTGCATTAGGAATTCGTCTTTTCATATACCCCAGCTTGCTCTCCATGAGACACAGACACACAGACAGGGAGAGAAGCTGGGGGTCAGAGCTCAGGGTCAGCCAATGTACGGCGCCCCTGGAGCAGTTGGGGTGAAGGGCCTTGCTCAGGGGCCCAACGGAGTAGGATTCCCCTGCCGGCCGTGGGATACGAACCGGCAACCTTCCAGCCACAGGCGCAGATCCTGAGCCACAGAGCCTCCACTCTGCCCTTTTTTTTTTTATAATGATAGAATGGTCTGTGTGCTGGCTGCGTGTGACCGACGCCCTTCTCCTTCCCAGGCTGTTCTCTCTGCACGAGTCCCTCCGCAGGCTGGTCCTGCTGTGGGGCTCGCTCCACCACCAGCGCTGTGTGCTCAGTGTCGCCCCCTTCAGCCTGTGCAGCCCACAGGGCACCAGGTGAGGCGCGTCGAGGGCGTGTGGAGGGTGGGGTCATTGTCGAGACCTGCAGCGCTGCTTCTGTGCCGACCTTCCTCCCTCCTCCTCCTCTCCTTCCCCCCCTCTGTAGGAGTCAGTTCCTGTGCAGTGCAGCCACCGATGGTAGGATTGCCCTGTGGGACCTGACTGAGGTGGTGGAAGGGGCAGAGGGGCTCACCGCTGCCCCCCAGTGCTGGGGTAAATATCACCCGGGGATGTTGTGTAAAATACCACAAAAAAATGCTAAGAGTTTAGTGTACCCGGAATCTGTTTTGTAGAAATATTACAGATACAGAATAAGAGGTGATGGCATTGGTAAGGTAAATCAGGAATTCTTGTTAAAGGTTTTTGCAATATTCTAGTTTGTTTGGGGTTTTAAAAAAATGAAGCCGAAAAAGAATGCTTTGCATGTGATGCTGCAAGAAGCCCTGCGCGTGTCACTCTTCTGTCGAGTCGGAAGGACAGTTCACAGCCCTGCGTGTGTGTTTCCCAGATGACGCTGCCTGTCTGTGTGCTGCAGGTGAGGGCAGCCCCTGCCTCTGTGTGCCTGCCCACCAGAGTGGGGTCAACTCCCTGGCGGTGTGGGGGTCAGCTTCCTCAGAGTGCCTCCTACTGGCCAGTGGCGGCGATGACGGCAGCCTGACTGTCAGCCGGATCGGCGTGCAGTACAACACCCGGGACACAGGGGGCGCCTCGGCCTCGCTCCGCCTGCTCGGCCAGACCTCAGCCCCCTGCGCCCACGCCGCCCCCCTCACTGCCCTGCAGTTCCTGACCTCTGACCTCCTGGCCACGGTGTCGGTGGACCAGCGCGTGGCGCTGTGGAGGTTGTGCGGCGAGGGGCGCCTGCGCTGGCAGGGGGCGCTGTTCTCTCACGTGGCCGACGCAGCGGGGCTGGTTGTGTGGCG